AGTAGTTCTCCACCCGTGCTATGTAGGAATTCCATTTCTCTGGGTGGGAGACATCAAAATCAGTCAAGCGGCCAATCTTCGACATCGTAAAGTTTACGACCTTCACCAATCGCCTCCTCTGCAAGCTGATGTTTGGGAAAGGGTCCTTTAGCCGAGCTCACCCCCCAGCGATGCTGTACTGGCAGGCTGAGACGCTGATGCAGACGCCGTCTTCCCCTCGTCAGGACTTCCTGGGTGAGTCCTTAAATCATTTTCTTAGGCTTGCAGAGGATCCCACCCTCGTCACCAGTGTTAAATTCTTCGTTCGCATGCAAATGATGAAGACACATGGTGACAAGTAACAAACACTTTATTCTCTTTCTCCAACACCCAAGCAATCTGCAAACAGGCACGTAGGCCTTTTATAGCTTTCCAACACCCAGGCAGTCCAGCCAATAGGAATCCTTCTTTCTTCGCGCCTTGCGCATGCACACAAGGCTGGCGCTGCTCTGTCTGGTCCCGGGCAGCTTTTAGAATGCCCAGGTCCATTTGCAACATTTCTGGGCCTGCTGAGTTTCCTCATCAGGCCCAGGACACAACAGCAGTCTTTTCAATATTAAGCAAAAATCAAGAACACAGGGGCATAATCTCAAACTGACAGGAGGAAGATTCAAAAGTAATGTGAAAGGTTCAAAAGTAATAAAGTCAAGTTATCTCACTTAGTGATGGTTCAAAGTTACGACCCCCCCACAAAAAAAACTTACAACTAGATCTGGAAGTTATGTATGTTGCAGAACCATGGCAGTCATTTGCTCTTTTGACTGACCCCAGAGACACTGCAACATGCCTCCTACTTATTCCCCCCCCCATCCTACCTTGCCGGGTCTACACAGGCATTGGGTCTGCTTTGCTATTCCACCACATCCCACATGCTCCTCTCCACCCTGTCACCTATTGCTCACTTATCTTTCAAAGATCTCCAGAGCTCCAGAACAGACTGGGCCACATGGCAAAAAGTGGTTCTCTTTTTCTCAAATACTGCCAAAGCTGTTTTCCTTAGATCTTGAGTTCTTACACACATTCATTTTTGTGCAAAGGACAGAATCATCTATAAAAGCGAGATCTATTGTGTCTCTGCAGGCCTTGTCTGGTCCCAGCCTGGGCATTCTCAGTGTGCTGCTGGGAGGTTGGGTCAAATGAACCATTTGGGGGATTGTGGTGTGAAGGCGGTGGTGGTAGGCAATCAACATGGGTCATTTTTCGTGCTGGTTTTGGCTGGAGGAGGTGGGATCACAAGGCAGTTGGGCAGCTGGTCAGGGTGGGAGGAGGCCCTGAGTGGCCGGAGGTAAGTGGACTTGTTCCTGCACTAGGACCTCGATAGCCTTTCCCACTTAACGACCCATGCATTCAATTAACAAATGAATTGGGGGGAACAGGGAGGGGGCTCATTCATTTAACATGATTCACTTAACCTTGCGACCATAATGGGCAGGCTCCATTATGGTCGTAACTCAAGAACTACTTGTATTATTTCACAGAAAGAGTAATGGAAGCTTGGAACCAACTTCCAGCGGAGATAGTGAATCAATCATAACCAAATGAATTTAAACATGCTTGGGATAAATACATGTCTATCACCTGACAAAAAATAAAAATAAATAAATATAATATCAATAAAATAAATAATCAGACATGTCAAACGTGTGACATCACATGACGTTGCGCGATGTATCGGAGCTTTTTTCCCGTTGCCGACAATGGGGTGGGTGTGGTTTTGTCATGACGCGTCCAGCCCGCGGGCCGGAAGTTTGACACCCATGATCTAGATCATCTGCACATTTCATCATATTCTACTGAAAAATAAATTACAGTTGTTTGAATTTTATCTGTGCTAAAATACAGGAGAATGGAGTTTCTCTAGATCTGGGGATCTGATCAGCATGAGCTACATATATAAAAAATTGGAACTAAGCCACTTTCTAGAACCCTGGATCTGCACCTCAGTGAAGATTGTGTGTTCTTTATATTCCTCTACTGTTCACCCCCTAATAACTACAATTCCCGAAATACAACACAGTGCATTTAAGTGCTTTGCTAAGAAAATATTTATTAGAAATGAAATTTAACAGATAAAAACATGTAACATTCACTGGACCTCAAATATAGACATTAAAATTTTCCACAGAATTTCTTTAAGAAAGTATTCCAAAATTAGTGTAAAGGTTTTTTGTTCATAAATTCAATTACATGCAACCCTAAAAACCAACCCAAGTCCCACAAACTGTATAAAGTCACATGACTTGAAAACTGCATTTTAAAAAATTGTTGTATCGCCTATAACAAGCCCTTAAAATAAAAGATGATCCATTTTCTTAAAAAGTTATTAGAAATGTATTATACTGTAAGAACACTATCATATTAATTTATATTTCTCATAGACATTATATAATACAATCTTGAATAGAGGTACCTGTGTCACACAAGTATACTACCATATGGAGAACATTCTTTGTAGTAGTCTCTCACATATAAATCTACTAATACATGAAAATAAGATTGGCACATAAGTGTCAATAGGTGCTGATGAAAGTTGATGCCAGCATTTCCTTATTAAAGTTCATTTCAAATAGTTTGTACATCATATGAATATTCAAGTAAACCAAGCTTTTTAAATTCCACAGAATTGAATTGTTCAGTGTATCATTTAAGGAATGTTTTCAATATATTAAAATAATAATGAAACCATTTGATATTGGAAGAAACCACTTCAGCTACCAATTATTTTCTCTCCATTTACAAATTTTAAAAAATCATTTACATTTTACATGAAAATTATTAGTTAATGATTCAATTAATTTGAATTCTTCACCTTAAAACAACAGGCATTTCCTTTAACAAAGTTTCATTCTTATTGGGAAACAAAGACTTTTAAAACTTGCACTACCTGGTTATTAAAGAAAAGGTATTGAGTTTAAGGTTACCCACTATTTTGGTAACTGAATTCTTAATCTCGAGCAGTTGCACAATAGGCAGAAATTTACAGGTCAATCTTTCCCAAGGGTAGAGTATCTATTTCAAGGTAATTGCCTACAGAATTTCTTCCTGTTATATAATTAAAGAAGAGATCTGCCAAAGTAATCTAAATGTTATACAGAAATTAGGTGAGCTAAATGTAACAAGATTGTCACTGTCAAGCAATGGTATGAAGATAATCTTGTACATAGCATCCCCTGTGCCAATAATAACAGTAATAATAACTTGAATATGCAATACTCTCAAATTGTATTTTCCTGAAGAATCATGTACAGAATAAATTACAGTTCCAAGTCCGCTAAAAGGTCCAATGTAACTATTATAAACTCACTCCCTTCCCAGCAACTAAATCCATGAGATTTGACATTTTTTGTTGGATAAATTCAGTTTGGGAAGGGGTCAAAAGACTTCACAAGAAGATTTTTTTTTTTAAATCTTGCTAATATGCTTCTCTTTTTTAGGACTAACTAGCTTGAAGAGGGAAAGGCAAAGTAATGTCCATAAATGTTAGCAGATCACTGGAGAGTAAGAGATGTCTATTAGTTCACCTCAACATATTCTAAGGTTTAAAAGTTTATAATTTTTAAATATTTTATCAGAAAAGAGAGATGTAATACAAGCCTTAAATCATCAGAATACCATCATTCCCCTCCCCCCATACTTTAGGTCTTGAATATGTGAGAAAATATCCCAAGTCCGATGCCCTGGAAGACTGGTGAACATTACCAATGTACATTGTTTAGGAGGAAATAGCTTCTGAGCAGGATATTCAGCAGAGGATAATAAAAAAGTTATATGGCAGCTTTCCTTCCTTAGAAAATTTATTTCCAAACTAAGATTGCAAAAATAATAAAAGAGGGGAAATTGAATGTTTGAACCTTCTTCAAGGCCTGAAATTAAGTAGAGGATATGCTCCACAAAACTCTTGTGCTTTAAAATATCCATGGCTGGAATTATGCTGAACAGTGAGAATATTCTTTATACAGTGGTATCCAATTACTCACTAGTTTTTGATCAGTGGCTTTCACACTTGCAGGTAACTGGTTATTTAACCTCCAGTTCATTGTAACAGTACAGTATAATAAACATTATAGTCAGTTATGTGCTGTTTTGTACGCCTGTATGAATGTGATAATGCATGCAAGACACTGACAACTTAAGATATATGAAAATAGCAACAGTTACAAAATTTGCAAAAATGTCACAGTGTTCTTACAGCCTTTACTTTAAAAACACAAGTATATCACTTACCACCACTATTGCTCAAACAAGATAATTTGTCTCTCAACCATGCAAATTAGTTTGAAAAGGTAAACAAGCCAACATTTTTGGCATATTTAGACAGTGAGAGCAACCTGAATTTAAAATTTGATCCTATCAATTATTACAATTATTTTCCATTCTTCCAGTTGTTTTGCATTAAATCTATCTTAACACATTTACATTCTGTATATTATGTGCTTAAAAATCTAGCCAAATCTACAAAGGGAAATCTCGACACATATCCAAAAATACTGGACAAACAGATGCTAGTCAAAGTTGATATTCCTCATTTCTGGTATATTTTATATATTCTATTCTCAGCTTGAAAAATGCTAACAATGCTGCACAGCTGTTTCATTGCCTTTTAGAAATATCTGTGACATTAAGACTTATTATTGACAGATAGTTTCTCACCCTAAATAAAACAAATCCATAATTTTACCGCAGTGTGCATGGTTCAATCTGATACCACATCACTATTGTTATAGCCAACATTAACCATTAAAAAAAACGTACTTCACTGTCACAGTTGGAAAAAGGCATCTATCAGACACTATATCTTTTTGTAAGAAAAGAATCCAGCTTCTCCTTATTTTATAAATAACTTGTTAATCATAATCACCAAACTTTAGTTATTAAACAGAATTCAAGTTTAGAAAAATGAATAAATTAGTTACAGCCTTGTAAACAATGAACTTTTATGGTACGTACGTATGTATGTATGTACACACACACTTAAATCCTCTGAAGAATAAATCAGACATTACAAGGCACACATTACACTCAAGAATTCAAAATCATAAAAAAGCAACTATTTTACTCTTCTTTGCTGGCAGAATTGTGCTGTAGGATACTGAAAAACAAATGTAAATTTGTTTATACTACAGCCTTCCATGGCTGCAATCTCTCTCTTTGTTCTATAGTGCTGTGAGACTTGAAATATTTCAAATTAGTTTTCTTAGATACTCTCCACAAAGCTTCCAGGGAAAAGGCCAGTTTTTCCATTTCGCTGCAATGTGCCTTTGAACCAGCCATCTTCATGTTTTTTATGAACAAAAACAACATCTCCTTCTTTAAGTTCAAGTTCAGCTTCACTCTGAGGAGGATAGGATACCACAACTCTGTATCTGCAGAATAAGATTTTTTAAAAACATTTAGACTTTCACTGTTTAGAAAAAAAGGCAAAAGAATCAGAAAGCTTCTTTGAACTATTTATAATTATAAATGAACTATAAATTCAGAATTAATAACAGACAACTTGTACTTTGTATCTTTTATTTTGTATATTTTGTAAATTTCATTATTCATTTTCATTTTGTAAATAAATTTTCTCCATATCAGTTTAGATTCCAATAGGAATCTTCTGCAAATTCTATCATGAATTTGGGATAGAAGAAATAATACTGTGCTAGGCCTGATATTTTGCTATTGAAAGTATGCAGTAAAACCAATCTTTCTTTCTTTAATGAAGGGAACTATTCTTCCTTTTATGCCAGACATTAAAAAAACCCCACAATATCCAGTTTCACAGAATAACAGTGTCAAGCTCTGAAGAATGCCTATGCTGTGTTAGCTATTATTGCTTCTTAGCTTGCCTATAGCAGGGCTTTTCAACCTTTTCACCCATTGTACCACTTTTATGATATGGCAACATTCGAGTACCACCAGTCGCCTAGCACAGGGCTTTTCAACCTTTTCATCCATTGCACCACTTTTATGATATGGCAACATTCGAGTACCACCAGTCGCCTAGCAAGGTGTCAAAAACTTGATGACCAAAAAAAAAAGGAAAAAAGTGATAAAGTACTTACAACAGTTCGCTTAGTGACTGTTTGAAGTTACAATGGCACTGAAAAAAGTGCCCCCCAACCACAGCCGAGCAAGACAGCGCCCGGTGGCGCTCTTCCTCCTGTCCAAGGTTTTCATTGTTGTGAGCATTTCTGTTGAGGATTGGCAACGGGGCTGGGGTGGGGGGTGTTTGGTTTTTATTCCCCCCGTCTGCTGGGTGGTTGCAGCAGGTTTTGGTCACTTCTCATGACCCTGGGACACTGTGACCGTCATAAATATGAATCGGTTGCCAAGCAGCTGAATGTAAATCACCAGACCCTGGAGATGCTGCAACATTCCAGCTGATCGGCGCTTCTTTTGGGCTCAGCAGAAGCGTCAGGATCAGTGCTGCTTTCCAGCTGATTGGTGCTTCTTCAGGGCTCAGCAGAAGCACCAGGATCAGCGCCGAGCTCCAGCTGGAGCCTGGCGTTGATCCTGGTGCTTCCACTGAGCCCTGACAGCCCCGAAGCGCTAATCAGGTGGAAAGCGGCACTGATCCTGGTGCTTCCGCTGAGCCCTGACAGCCCTGCAGCTCCAGCCATCTCTCGCTAAGGCTTGTGCGGTGCTGCCACCGGTTCAGCTCATTCCCCTCCCCCGCTACCACTTTTCTAGGATGGTCGCGTACCACCTGCCATGTGCCAATGTACCACAGGTGGTACCCGTACCACTGGTTGAAAAGCCCTGGCCTATAGGCTCGGGGAAAGGGCAGGAAGAATGGAATTCAGACTTCTGATATCGAGAGGCCAGTCCATGAGAACCAAGGACTTTCAAGATTTGTTTACTGAGAACTAAAGACATTCTCATAATGATTCTGACTTACAGTATAATAGGATAATTTGACCTGCACTAATAAGAGGAGGTAGGTTTTTATATTTTTAATATAGCAATTTAGGTGCGAAATAACCAGAGCTGGCTTTCCTTTCATCTGTGCCAAAATGATGTGCTCAATAAAGTTTTGCCTAAATGTGGAACCTTATTTTTCTCACCACTGAATTTCATTTTGTTAGATAGGGCCCAGCATTCCATTCTGTCAAGATCCTTCTGTATCTTTTTTTTTTAATCAAATTTTTATTAATTTTTTAAATAAACAAATAGATACAATTATGGCATACATTAATACAAAAAAAATATAAGACATAAAAACCTCCTATTCCAAGATGCTCAGCAGCCTCCCAGGACCACATTCACCCTCTCTTAACCTACCTACCTACTTCCCTCCTCCTCCTTCCTTCTTCCTCTCCACCCTCTCAACAACTCTACCCTACACATCCCCCCTCCTTCTCTCCTCCTCTTTCAGATGTGGTCCTGGAGGTCGACTGAGCCTCCTTTCTTCAATAAATACATTATATCTCACTACCATTCTAGTATACCAAAATATAACTATACATAAGAAATCCCTTTCCCCCCTCCCCCCCTGGACTTCCCGGAACCAAATACAGGATTAAAGCTCATCCCATTCCATATCTAAATTACAATTTAACTAAACAAACATAATACAATCAATATTTACATACTTTAACTCTAATGTAAAACAATGAGTAAAAACAATATATCTACTCAAAAACTATATGATATTTATTCATTCCATACTTTCTCTGAGTATAATCTATCCAACATTTAAGCTGTAAACTAAAATACATACAAGACAATTTTTAACGATCTAAATATTATCTATAAAACATCTTATATAAATTTTCTCTTAAATTTTACACTTAAGTTTTTCCTTCACTTTCTTCACTCTTAAGTCAATACTTTCAAAGAAATCTTCTTATCTTTCATTGGATCAGCAACAGCATTCCAGTCTCCAAACATATGGAAAAACCTATAAAATTGTTTTTGTTGTTGTTGCTGATATAGTGCATATAAACCAATGCCTCCTTCTTCAAAGCTGGAGAAATAAGATAAAATCCCAATCTTAAGTTTATCAAATATTATGAATCTTTCAAAGTAATATGAGTTCCTTACAAGCATATAATCCTTTTTATATTATTTCAAATATTAAAATAATTTCTTCCTTTTCCGTTCAGCGCCGTCAACTTAACCATCCTTTGGCTTGTGGAGCTTATTAAGCATTCCCTGCAAATCTGTCGTTACAGATCTCTTTGGCCTCGCCCCTCCCACTGGCTCCGAAGTCGGTGAATATGTTATGGATACAATTTCTTTTTGTTGTTGCTCTCTCTCTTTACGCCTGTAGGCAGCACGGGTCATTCTTTGCTCCTTTGAGTTCACTCCCAACTTTTGTTGATTCTGAGGATCTCCTGCAGATGATGACATGGCCCCAGGCAATTCCACAACAAGTTGCTCCATCAAATCTTCCTTTGCTTTAGATGTCGATGATGATGATAAATCAGCTTTCAGGACCGATAAATAAAAATCTTTAGCTTTTTGAACAGTATTTAATCTATATCTGGTCCCCGCATAATTTACCACAATTCCAAAAGGAATCTCCCATCTAAAAGGCATCTGCCACTTCTTTAACTCCTGAGCCAAAAAAGTAAAATCCTTTCTTCTTCTTAAAATCTTAGAAGGTATTTCTTTTAAAAGTATAATATCTTGTGCAGCAATTTGAAATCTTTGCTGATAAAAAAGCTGTATAATTTCATTACGATGTACTCTTGTGGTAAAGTAAACAACCACATCTCTAGGTATGTTTCTCTGACGTGCAACCCAGGAGTTTACTCTAAAAAAAATTTCTATTTCTCCACAGATCACCTCTGGGTTGCAATCCAAAACCAGGGCCAAAGCTATAACAATTTCTTCCTTAAGTTTCTCTTGTATGTCCTCCTTAAGACCCCTAATCCTCAGAGCAAATTCCATTTCTCTATATTGTGACATTACCATATCATTTTGAAGAATTTCCACACCTTCTTCTACTTTCTCAAGTCTGTCCTCTGTTCCTTCCATTTTCTCCACTAACTCATCCACCCGTCCCTCTATACGATCAACATGAACTGCTAGTCCTTGAAAGATGTGTGATATATTTTCACAAAGTTCCTGATTTTTCTTGTCAAGAAGTTCTTCTGTTTGTTTCACAGTCTGCAATGAGGACTTAGCTAAAGCCTCTTGTAGATCTTTAAGTGTAATGGAAGGAGGAGGTGATGGTGGGGGAGATCTAGGTTTTTGTTGTGAAATTTGCACAACTGGAGAGGAAATAGCTGTTTTAGGCAATGCAGAAACTCCAGTACGTTTTGAAGCCATTCTGCCAAATTTTCCTAAGTATAGTTGTAAAACTCACAACAACTATAAACTCAAAAAAGCTTGACTTAAAAAAAATATCTTTAAAATCCTTTAAAATGTATCATTCCACAACCAGAAGAAGAGTGAAAGTTTTCCTTTTGTTACAAAGAAGCAGCGCTTCCGTGGCCATTTTCTTCTCACTTTCACTTATAGCAAATAGCAAAACTCCCAATAAAATCTTTGAGTTAAAGTCACAATTTAACTAAAGTAAAAATCCCCTGTCTGGTTCCGTCTGTTTAAAAGTTACTCACAAGCAGATACAAAGTAGCAGCAGTGGCAGCGACGTCTAGCTTCGCTCCGAGGAGCGAAGACACTCCGAGCTGTGGAGAGAAGTCTGGACTCTGGGGGAGTTCATCACCTTCATCCCCCCAGGATCGTTCCTGGGGGGACTAGGGAACTCAACCCCTATCCAGACCGAACTCACTTTCTCCCCTTCGCCCGGGGAGAAAGTTCCGAGCCGCAAAACAGCTAATCCGCGCTGTTTTGACAGCTTTGACGCAGTCCCGGGCGGGAAGCTAAGAAAAAAGCCTCCTTCGGCAAAGCCTCGCCACCGGAAGTCCAAGATCCTTCTGTATCTTGACGCTATCTTCTGGAATGTTGACTATTCCTGTCGGCTTGATGTTGTCTGCAGTTTTGATGAGTTCTCCTTCTATTCTCTCATCTAAATTGTTTATGAAGATATTGAAGAGTACTGGGCCTACCCTACTGCATACATTCCTCCATGTAGATGCAGTTCCATTAGTGCAGTTCAAAGTCACTAGACTTTGAGTGCGGTTGGTCAGCCAGTTATGAATCTATCTGGTAATGATGCTGACCACTGAATTTCATTCTGTTAGATAAGGCCCACACTTTTCTGTCTTACTAAATAGGTTGTAGTCAAATGCCTTACTGAAATTCAAGTATATGTCCACAGCATTTCGCTGGTCCACTAATTTCATCACTTTCTCAAAGAACGAAATGAGATTTGTTTGGCATGATCTGTTTAGTAAAGTAAACGTTACTTTTAGTAAAGTAAAATTGTTTTCATTTCATCCATATTGTATACTAAACATACTGTAAATTTGCCTTGGGAGGATTTTGTGAAATAAACAGAATACAGGAAACCCTTAATTTAAAACATCTTCTTTAAACCTTTGATTTAGCTGACCTTAGAGCAATAATGTACACTGAATAGTTCTATGCATTTGTAAAATGCCATTTGCAATTATACATATACATAAAATGCGTAGGAAAAATCCCATTTCCATTTACTTTTTATATATAATGTGATGAAATCCCATTTCTATTTTACATGTCTGTAAATTTTGCTTTAATGGAGAGCCTTTTTCTTCTCCTACCTGTCTTTCTAGCAATGCCACAACTTGCATACTCTTCCATTTCCAGAGACCATGAACAGTTTATAGTATTGCTATAAGATTAAAAACAAAATTAATGCCTTTTTTTGAAATGTAATAAAGAGAGTGCTGGTCCAAGTATCTTAAGGAAAGCTGTTCCAAAGAACGACATCACCAGAACTCAATTTAGTTGAGGGTTTACTGTAGTGTAGAGGAATTGATTCACTGAGTCTTCCCAGTAGCACATGTATGTATGTATGTATGTATGTATGTATGTATGTATGTATGTATGCATGCATGCATGCATGCATGCATGCATGTATACAAGTTGTCTTCATTTAGCAACCACAATTGGGACTGGCAACTGGGTCATTCATTAAATGAACTGGCCACTAAGTGAAATCACAACTGTGTTTATGATCTTACTTCAGCTTTCCATTGTTTTAAGGACTAGCGAAGGTTGTAAATGTGAAGATTGATTATAAAGTGAGTTTTTCATCATTGTTATAATGGAAACAGTTGCTAAATGAAGACCACAGTAATCCTTGAGATACGACCATAATTGAACTTGTCCATTAGGGTTGAAGTCGGGACATTAAATGAATTGCCTCAAGTAACAACCAGTCATCCCTGGAGCTCAGGGATGAGGGAGTGTCAACTGTCCAGTTGGCAGATCCAAAAAAAGAAACTCCTGGGACATTATTTTACCAAGAGTATAAACCATATTGGCACAAATGAAGCGAAACCAGCTCTGGGTTTCCCACGCAAAAGCTAGCATAGTTAATCCCCCCATTCCCTATGGGCCACCCACAGTCCATTACGGCCACCAATCACTTCTGTTCGTTTTGTTATGGGAACCAGCAGCCACGCTAGTCCACCTGCTCGATGTGTCCTTGGTTTGGAGCATTCTCACGAACAGTGGATGCTCAGATACAATTACTCCCACCCTTGCATTCCATATCCCCTCCTTCCTTTTCTTCGTCAAGCTGCAAGCAAAGTGGAATATAGGTGAATGTGCAAATCAGTCTTGACAGGGAGATCCTGGGAGGCCTAGTCCAGGCACAAGTCCACCTACTTCAGGCCTCAAGAGCTTCCCCAGGCCCTTGATGCCCCTTGGATGCCTTGCAAGAGAAAAGTTTGGGACACTTGTTCTGAAGCTCCCACCTTTTATGCAGGGGCCAGTTTTTGCAGAAGAGCTTTGCAGCCTCCCAATGGCCAGCTCATTGGTGCAGAAAGCATTAAAAGCATCTGTCATTTCATTCATAAGAGCGCATGACTACAGGGTTATTGCAGCTGTCAGAACTTTCAAACAGAGTCACATGTAGTTTTGGGCTGTCAGTCGTCTTTGAATCATTAAGTGGCCTGTCATTCCTTGAGGACTACCTGTACACATATACCTAAAACACTGCAAAAAACCATTGTTGAATGAGCTTAAAAAATTGGTAAGTTCCCATCACTATAACTGCATATACAAATAAACTTCACATATTTAAACTGATGTTGCAGTATATCTTAACTGTAACCACATAAGCTTACAATAAAGCAAACAGTTAAAATAGACAGACATAATCTTCTCATATGCTTGCTGGCTGAAATATTACCAATTTAATTATATTGCTATTTCTCTAAAACAACTGGATTATATATATAATTTCTAGGGAAACTGAATAAGAGGCAACTGTTTTCCAGATTGAAAGGGGGACCATTTTTCTCAATTGTAAACACATATTCTGGTTCACCACGAGTGTTCATTTCAGAGATTTTTTTTTTTTACTTTATTTTATTCATGTACATAGCATGGAAATATCTCCATTTTCATTTCACTTTCTAATTTCAAAATCTGTTAAAACTCAGTATAATAAAATTAGTGTAACATTATCACTAGGAATAGCAAATTTAGTTATACAATCCTATACACATAGTTACCCAGTAACTTTGACATGGATCTGATTTCACCTGATCAAAAATTAACAGCAGGAAAAATATGTTACTTTATAACTATCTCTCTCGCTCCCTCCCTCCCTCCATCTCTATCTCTCTGTGTATGTGTATATGTGTGTAGAAATTGAATTAGAAATTGAAAGACAATAATATATTCAAGTTTGATTTTAGAAAATCAAAATAATGTAAAGTTCAGGATTATCTGATTGGCTACATCAGGGGTGTCAAACTCGATTTCATTGAGGGCCCCAGCATTGTGGTTGCCCTCAGGGGCAGGGTGGGCGTGGATGACTGGGTGGGCATGGCCAGGTGGACGTGGTCAGCTTGACGTCGCTCACATTGGGGTTACCTGTGGCGGCTGGGTGGGGCTGTGGGGGAATCCAGGGGTCTCTGGCTGAGGGGGACAAGACTGGGGCAGATGCCAGGGCTTGGTCCACCGGAGGAGCCTTGCCGTCCCTCTCGGGCTACGCGGAGGTCCCCAGATGGTGGCATGGACTTCTCGAGGCCCTGGACGTTGGCAGGTGCCTGGCCCAGCCTTTGATCTCCCAGGGCACCGACATCCTGTGACCCGGCCTGGCATTGCTTCCCAGGAGGAACCTGGCAGCATGTGGGAAACCTCCAGAACTGGGCTCGGGAAGAGTGGAGAGGGGAGTCCCAGCTTGCTTCTGGGGAAGGGGGGATCCTTGCCCTTCCCATTTGCTGGGACCGTCGGGGGTATGGCAGTAGGCAGGAGGCTCGTCCTGCATGTGTGGCAGACCTGGAGGATGAAATTGGATAGCGAGAGTCAAGTGGGCATGGAGGTGATGGCAACTGGCCTTGCTGCGGCCCCACCGTACATCTTTGCTTGCCCGTGCCACAGCTGGGAAGGGCGGGTGGTCACTTGGCCTCCCAGCACATCTGGCATGCAGGATCACATACCTTCTTTCTGCACCTCTGCCTCCACCTGCCATTTGGAGGGCTGGCCTGATGGCCATGGCGTTCGGACCCACCTGCGCTGCAGGGGCTGCGGGATCCTGGGGTACACTGACCAATGGATGGCCGAGGGGCCGGTGGGCTGCGGCTGCTGGCAGGCACTGCCAACCCTCGCACACTCGCTGCCTCCTGTGTATGCACCTGGGGGGGCACCCAACCGGGCTAAGATGAGCCCGGCCAGGGCAGCGGGAGCCATTCCCTCGCTGTCTCCGGATGGCCCCACAGGCCAGATCTGGGCCTCTCGCAGGCCGGATCCAGCCTGTGGGCCTTGAATTTGACATGTCTGGGCTACATCATTCTTCCACCTCAACAGTTTAGGAATCTGCTTTAGGAGTTAACCTGACATGAAAAAGTTATTGGATGTGATCCAAGAATCAATTATATATGGCCTTCTGATCACCGTCCAACAAGCAATATATTAGAAATAACTCCTGTTTTATATAATATATTAGAAATAAATGAACATTTCAAACAGAAATCAATTCAAAGAGAATACTAATAGAAAATTTCTTTCACCATTTTAAAAAAATAGCATTTCTTGATGAAATGTAATAAAGAACACATTTTTATCCAGGAAAATGACTTACCGTTCATAGATTACACATCTGGATTCATTTGACACTGGAGCCAATGATGAGCATGGTTGTCTTGGAGGGGGAACTATAGGGATATTAGAATCCAAAGAACTTGCTTTGCAGTGAATACTCTCCTGCACAATTGTAGGTGATTCACTGTCCATGGGGCAAGGGTCTGCTCTTCCCTGACTAGAAGTTGATGAAATTTCTGGCCCTATAGCACCCTGAAGGGAGAGTTCTGTAGTTGCCAGCTCAACTTCGAGAGTTGGGGATGATGGTGGTGATGCTCTAAGTTTACGCTTAGTAGATGCTCCTGAAAGTAACTTCAGTAACCCCTTTTTTTCTTTCTAAAAAAGAGATATTTTTTTTCAAAAAAAAAAAAAGGAAATATGAATGTGGAATTTTACATTTGACAAACAACTAATCAACATTGTATTTAAAGCCACTGAGGGTAGCTTCAATAGTAATATTGGCAGCATATAAATTTAATAAATAAATAAAATACCATAAATTTAAAGTGCCTCACATATATCGGGACAACAAAGTGGTGGTGTGATTCAATGGAACCATTTGTAAAAAAATATTTTCAAGAAATTAATCTCTCTGTACTATAAACTTCATATAATTTACACACCTACAATCCTTAGGATTATCCTGCAAGGGAAATGAGGTTATAATTTCCACAAAATATGTTATATTTATTATGTGTTTCAACTTAAGCTTTAGCTTAAGTTGAAACACATATGTTAATACTAAATGTATTAATACTGTAGAATACTTTAAAATGTAAAAAACAAGAAAAAAGTTAAGGAAATGATTGGTCCATTAGTGGGAGAAAGTGGCAAGAAGGTGACAAGCAGCACAGACAAAGCAGAACTACAGGTAATCCCAGAGATATGAGCGTTCACTTAATGCTCGTTCGAAGTTACGTGATCAGTGCCCCCTAGTGTTTATGAGCAAGTCCCAAAATTCCAAATATTGCAGCACCACGGCAGTCATTCGCCCTTATGAACAACCGCAGAGGCTCTGCAGTGTTCACCCTATTCCCTCCGCTCCCCACAATTGCTTCCCCCTCCCTTCATGCTGAATCACTCATTTATCTTGCAAAATCTGTCTCTTCTCTGCTGCGGTTTCTTTCTCTTTTAAGGGAGAGGAGAGTCGGCTTGGAAATGCTTTTCGCGCTGACAATGGAAGCTCCTGGGTGCCGTAATATTGCGCGAGTTCAAACACAAATTCTCTGCAAAAGAGATCATGGCCCCTGGAAGTTTCCATTGGGGGGGAAGTGTTTGCTTCGTTTGCATGCCTATCGGGCAAAGCGTGGAATCAGAGTCGACCGAGCACAAGAACTAATGCCATCTGTGGCCCGGGTGTGCTGCTCACGAGTGTGCGCCGGACTTAGTTTGAGGCCAGGAACGAAGCCTTCAACTGAGGGGGGAGGCATCTCAGGGCGAGTCCCTTTGCACCTGTGTTCAAGCTCCTGGAGATGGCATGGCAACAGTCACCTGAGTGGCCACAATCTCCCCTCCCCAACCAGCCAGCCAGCCAGCCCGACCCACTCTTTGCCTGACCGGCCGGTGGTACAAATCCTGACCGGCCGGTGGTACAAATCTTCTCCTTGTCGTCCTCCCTTGTCGTCCTCCCCACTCAAGCGGCAGTAGCTGCTTGAGTTTCTCCGCTGTCTGAAAGGAAGAAAGCGGAGGTGCAGAGCAGGATTGCTCTCAAGAAGAGACGGGTGCGCTGCTCGCTCGCTTGTGTGCGCGCCGGCCTTATTGAGAGCAATCCCACTCTGCGCCTCCGCATCTTTCCACTCAGATGGAGCGGAGAAAATCAAGCCTCTGCTGCTCAAACACTTTTATCCAAAGGAGAACTGAGAGCTGGAAGTTCCGTGTGATTGCTAATGGAGTGCTTCAGAAACAGAGCGTTCCTTTCCGTGCAGTAACACAATGCTTCAAAACGCAGCAAATCATGCTCAGTTTCTGAAGCGCTCCAATGCCAATCACACGGAACTTCCAATCTCTCTCAGCTCTCCTTCAGATAAAAGTGTTTGTGTTCCTATAGGGCTGCCCTCAAACTAAGGCGCACGCGAGCGAGCAGTGCACCTGGCCCATGGATGGCATTGGTTCCTGGTTGTCTCCGATTCCATGCTTCGCCCTATAGGCATGCAAATGAAGCAAACACTTCCCCCCCCCCCAGAATGGAAGCTTCCAGGGGCCATGATCTCTTTTGCAGAGAATTTGTTTTTGAACTCGCATGACATTACGGCATCCAGGAGCTTCCATTGTCGGCACGAAAAGCATTTCCAAGCCTACGCTCCTCTCCCCCAAAAGGAAAGAAACCATGGCAGAGAGAAGACAGATTTTGCAAGGTAAGTGAGTCTGGCACAGGAGGAAGGGAGAGGGAAGCATGAGGTATCTTAGTGGGTCAGGGAGGCCTTGTTGGCCTGTTCCATCACTAGGCCCCCCATGGCCTTCCCCACCCTGAAATACCTCATGTGCACTTAACGAGCTGTGTGCATCTTAATGAGCAATGAGTGATCTCGTTCGAGGTATGAGATTCACTCCCAAGAGTTTTCGAGTTACGAATGGAATGGGCAGGCTCCATTACACTTGTAATTCGAGGACTACCTGTACTTAACTTGTTTTTTGCATCCGTCTTTATACAAAGGGAAAAAACAGTCCAACCTATCAAAAACAGTACCGTAAAAAACAGATTAGAAGCACAAGTTAAAATAGGCAAGAAAATGGTAAGTGAGCACCTGTCCACCCTAGACGAGTTCAAATCACCATGACCAGATGGATTACACCCCAAGGTTCTGAAGGAATTGGCAGACGTGATCTCAGAACCATTGAACTATATCTTTCAAAGATCCTGGAGCACCGGGGAACTACCAGAGGAATGGAAAAGAGCTGATGTAGTACCCATCTTCAAAAAAGGGGGAAAAAAGGGATCCAGGAAACTACAGACCTATCAGCCTGACCTAAGTACCTGGGAAGATTCTGGAAAAGATAATCAAGCAACAAATCAGTGAACACCTAGGGGCAAAAAAGTCATAACCAAAAGCCAACATGGGTTTATCAAAAACAAATCATGCCAGACAAATTTTATTGCATTCTTTGACAAGGTGACAAAATTAGTGGACCAGAAGAATGCTATGGATATCATTTACTTGGACTTCAGTAAGGCATTTGATAAAGTAAACAATAACCTACTGCTTGATAAGAAAAATATTAGATAGCATCACCACCAGATGGATTCGTAGCTGGCTAACTGGCTATACTCAGCGTGTGGTCCTCAATGGAACCGCATCTACATGGAGGAAAGTGTGTAATGGGGTGCCACAGGGGTCTGTTCTGGGCCCAGTGCTCTTCAACATCTTCATCAAGGATTTGGATGAGAGAATAGATGGGGAATTCATCAAATTTGCAGATGACACTAAGCTGGCAGGAATAGCCAATATTACAGAAAATAAGCTTAAGATACAGAAGGATCTTGACAGACTTGAACGTTGGGCGCTATCTAACAAAATAAAATTCAATGGTGAAAAAAGTAAGGTTCTACATTTATGCAAGAAAAACCAAATGCACAACTACAGTATAGGTGGTACTTTGCTCAGTAGTAGTAACAATGAGAGGAATCTCAGAGTCCTAGTGGACAATCACTTAAAAAAGAGCCAGGAGTGTGCTGCAGCTGCCAAAAAAGCCAACACAGTGCTAGGCTGCATTAACAGAGGGATCGAATCAAGATCACGTGAAGTATTAATACCACTTTACAATGCCTTGGTAAGGCCACACTTGGAATACTGCATCCAGTTTTGGTCACCACGATGTAAAAAAGATGCTGAAGCTCTAGAAAGAGTACAGAAAAGAGCAACAAAGATGATTAGGGGACTGGAGACTAAAACATATAAGGAACGGTTGCTGGAATTGGGTATGTCTAGTTTAACGAAGACATACCCAGTTGGAAGGAACTGAGGAAGAGAATAGTAGTAAGGAAGAATTGGAACTCAAAAGCCAGGAGGAACTTAAGGAAAGAGAACAAGGAACAGAAAGTAAGGGAGAAAACAGACAGAAGAAGGAGAAAGGACCAGGACTTAGAACAAGACAAGCTCACAAGTAAAACACACAAGTAGAAAATAGAAAAGGAAATTAGGCTANCTATTTAATAAAAAAAAATATACCCTTTAGATGGTTAATTCCGGAAGGAATGCTGATAACATGGAGAGAGAGAAAGATTAAAATAGATAATTTAGAGAAAGCCCGGGAATTTTTTGATCAGTTGGAAGGAACTGAGGAAGAAAATAGTAGTAAGGAAGAATTGGAACTCAAAAGCCAGGAGGAACTTAAGGAAAGAGAACAAGGAACAGAAAGTAAGGGAGAAAACAGACAGAAAAAGGAGAAAGGACCAGGACTTAGAACAAGACAAGCTCACAAGTAAAACACACAAGTAGAAAATAGAAAAGGAAATTAGGCTATTATCTATTAATATTAATGGATTAAATGCACCAGTAAAGAGAAAACAAATATTAACAAAACTAGTCAAACAACACATAGATACCATCTCCCTTCTTAACCACCTCATCGAGTGCAGTTTGGGGACTGTCCATTCCTTAATCTCCCCTAAGCAGATATAAGTAAAATTCAAATTTTTCTGTCCAGTAAGAAATTTCTGTTCAGGGAGAAAAAAGTACCATTGAAGGTTGTTTAACAATCAAGATTTATAATCTAAAGTGTTCCATATGTTTCTTCTGCAAGAAAATAAATTCACAATACAGTTCTGAAAGTCAACAGCCAGCCAAAGTCTTATCTAGTTCTGGCCTTCAAGCCAGGTTTCTTTTAGGCATAAATAAGTTGTAGTGCCGTAATTCACCACTAGATGCCATCAACACTACTTTCCAGTTTTTAGATCCAAAATTTACATTGTAAACTTTCAGAGTTATTTTTTTAAAAAAAGGTTTTAAAAACACTTTTAGTCCCCAAATTTTCAAGCTGTATGTATATATTAATTCCAGATAAGTCTTATAGGTTTCACCATTTTCCCCAAGTAATTAATTTGCTGCTTTTCTTTTCTGAGGGAATGGGGCGGAAATTCCCTTTCCCTCTTTCATCAGGGGAAGTGCTTTGGGCAGATTTTCAGGAAGAGATCTTAAAATCATAAAGAAAAGATCAGGTCTCACTCAGTTTCATCTACGTTGCTGTAAAGTTGCTTGGTAGTGCTTGTTGACTTCCATTGTCAGCAGCTTTGGACTGGCTACACGAATGCAGCCAGTCTTTCCCCCGCCAGTTTGAAGGGCTTCCTCGGATCAAACAGGAGAGATGCTGCCCCCTCCACAATCAACGAGAGTCTCCTC